GACACCATATGGGAAGAGAACCTATCACAATTCACAACCAAGCACACAAGAGGAAACGTCCCTCCCTGAGCAGAGGACCAATTGTTCTACCCCAGACGTCCAGGGGGTGCCCCCAGCTAGGGACCACATCTGATGACCGGCACTGCCAAAGCTTCAGGAGATCTGTAACCCTCAGGAGCAACAATAAGCTCCACCTGGAACAGTCACTGACAGCACGTGACAGGACGGAGGCAGGTCTCAGGAGCCACTGGCCACCATCACACTTCACGCCTTCCTCTCCAACACACACACAGGTACGACGCTTAGAGCTGGAAGCGACGGGGGACACCCAGGCAGGCAACAGTCCCAGCCTCTGCCGGTCCCTGAGGTGAAGGACACGCGCTGAGCACTGCCCACCCCCGCAGTGGGCCAAGTGTTTGGTCTTGGCTCTGGCTACAGGTTCCTGGCAGCTTTACTCAAGATCCTCACCTTCTGTGATTTTTTTATACAGTGGAGTACTACTCTACCGTAAAGGATGAGCTTCAAACATTCCTAGCTAAATGGATGGACCTTGAGATCATACTCCTAAGTGAAATAAATCAAACACATGTTTAAATATCACATTGTTTCTCTGAAGTGAGAAACAAAAAGTGGAAATAAGGACTGAGATGTATAATGGGTGTTGGGAAATGGGAAGAAAGTGTTCAAATGGTGAGAAGAACAAGGAAGGAGGGAGAAAGGGACAAGAAAAAAAGTGAAAATAGAAGGAAAAAATGAAAACAAAGTTTCTGCACATAGGGAGGGGAGGGGCTTGAGGGGGGAAATGGGATAAAATAAATTTTATTTTTAAAAAATGATCCTCATTGGGCCGGGGATTTAGCTCAGCGGTTGAGTGGCCTGCCTTGCAAGTGCAAGGACCCGAGTTCAATCCCCGGTACCAAAACAAAACAAAAAAAATGATCCTCATTGGGCCGGGGATTTAGCTCAGCGGTTGAGTGGCCTGCCTTGCAAGTGCAAGGACCCGAGTTCAATCCCCGGTACCAAAACAAAACAAAAAAAATGATCCTCATTGGGCCGGGGATTTAGCTCAGCGGTTGAGTGGCCTGCCTTGCAAGTGCAAGGACCCGAGTTCAATCCCCGGTACCAAAACAAAACAAAAAAAATGATCCTCATTGGGCCGGGGATTTAGCTCAGCGGTTGAGTGGCCTGCCTTGCAAGTGCAAGGACCCGAGTTCAATCCCCGGTACCAAAACAAAACAAAAAAAATGATCCTCATTGGGCCGGGGATTTAGCTCAGCGGTTGAGTGGCCTGCCTTGCAAGTGCAAGGACCCGAGTTCAATCCCCGGTACCAAAACAAAACAAAAAAAATGATCCTCATCTTCCATGTGTGATCAGACCTAAGGACAGATGCAAAGGCCAGGACTGTTGTCTGTGGGAACCAAAAGAAATGGACCAAGACTGGAGACAAGTTTAAATCACCAAAATGTCTAGGTAGAGTGCTTTAACTGCGGAGAAGTTACCTTAACAGTAAAACATCTCACAACATCCTAGGACTGCCCAGCAGCCACATGGAACACTGCCCTGGGAGACACTCGGTCTAGAGGGTTCTCAGCAGACCACAGCTCTGTCCCCAACAGCTGTTGGCTGTCTGGAGTACAGAGCTCTGACCCAGACCAATGCTGGACAGAGACGAGGCATCCCAAGTCAGCTAGAATTCTGGTCACAAATTTGATTGTGATAGGAGAAGAAACTGCCACACTCAGATAACTGCCAAGTAAAAGTTATTTTTAAATCTAAAGAAGCCGGTTGTGGTGGCACACACCTTTACTCCCAGTACTCAGGAGGCTGAGGCAGGAGGATCACTGCGAGTTCAAGACCAGTCTGGGCTACATAGCGAGACCCTGTCTCAAAAGACAAATAAATAAATAAATAAATTTTTAAAAATTAAATCTAAAGAAAATCTTGGTGCATTTTGACTAAAGAGATATGACTCATGAATTAATTTACCTGCCTTTAAGGAACTTTAAAGCTCATTTTCAGGGTGTATAAAGTTTAATTCTGTAACTCAAACTATTTATAGACTATTTTAATAAACACGTGGACCCGTCCCTGAACAGCATGGACTCCCTGGAAAGGGACTTTTATCCACCCAATGAACACGTCTGGTCGCACAGGACCCTTCTTCTGAACTAGCCAGTGACACCTGTCCTGCCAGCCTCACCTAACCCACACCTGGGCCGGGTCAGCCAGCAGCACGTCAGATGGCCTGGGCTCACCTCACCAGCCCCGTCTTTCCCACCTCACTCTGACACAGTGGCAGAAGGAAATGCTACTCATAGCAGCTTCTGTCAAAAATAACCCAACAGGAAGTCACTTTTACTAATATGTGTTTTATAAAGAGTATGGTGCCTAAGTCATGATTATGTAGGGCACAGCAAATATTTATGGGGGGAAACTGAGATCTACCAAATTCCATAAAGAATTTTTTCTTTTGCAATAAAAGGCTTTATTGGAATAATTAGGAAAATGCAAATAAGGCCCGCTGTTTGGATAACACATACGCAAAAATACTAAATTCCTGCCACGCAGGGTAGTGCACACCTGTAACCCTAGCACTGGGGAGGCTGAAGCAGAAGCACTGAGTTCAAGGTCAGCCTGGACCACTTAGTGAGATGCTATCTCAAAGAAAAAAAGATAAAGATAAGTTATTTTAATAACTATATTGCAGTTATATGAGAATGACTTTTTTTTTAAGAAAATGGCTACTTCGGTACTTAAGAGTCAAAGGACTCATGTCTTAAGCTCTTCAGTAAAATAAGAGTTGTATAAAGAATAAAGAAAATATGAAAAAAAAGAAAATATGATAAAATATTCCCATTTCAGAATATGGGAGGTCGCACCACAATTAGTTGCATTTTTCCTGCAACTTCTAAGCCTGACATTATTAAAACAAACACAACCCAATTCCTATTAAAAGATATTGGGGCTTTTTCTCCAAAAGCAGAGAATGGAAAAAGGACAGACACACTCTCCATACTTAAGGTGATTTAACTAACTCTCATCACACTCCTGAAAGACTGTCACTAACACGGCCAGGGAGACTTTCCCCAAAATCAACTAGAAAAAAACCTGACCTACACCCAGTGCCTTCACCAGTGAGGAGACGGCTCTGCAGCCCCACCCAGACTCCCCCAGGCCCCCCAGGTCCAGAAGTGAAGCCTGGACATAGAGGACTGGGCTAGGACCCACAAGGGGTCCATGTCACACCTGCTGGGACCCGCCCACACCCCTTTGTGCCCAGCTGTCAGAGGTGGCAGATGCCAGGGAGGGTTCACTTGGGAAGGGCCCCCATGAGTGTGTATGAACACCTTCTGGCCTCTACAGAAAGCTTCAGCTCAGAGCCACCAAGCTTTAGTGACACTGGCATCTTCCAAGTCCTGAAGCTGCCTTAAGACCAGGAAGAACCCAGGCACCACACTGAGCAGAGCCCGCCCTGTCCCAGCACTGGTCCTTCCAGGGCAAGTGTCATTGGAGGCAGTGCAGCAGGAGGGAGGAGGGCAGGGCAGGCTCCCAGAGACCCCCAGGCAGTATCCATTTGCTTCCATCTGTTTTACCCTGTCCAGCTTCTTGCCTCCTCCCTCACAGGGCAGGACCGCATTTTAAACAAATCAGAATTTTAGAATCTTTAACACACTCACAGCAGGACTTTAACGCGTTTGTTTCACTGCCCAGCGGTAGCTCTGAACCACCAGTGGTACTTGGATGACCAATTGTGCCATCAGGACAGTCGGGCACAAGCCGTCAATGGGACAGTCAGCACTGTACCATTGGTGGTCAAGGTGGCAGGAATGTGTTACATACATTACAAAATGCATAAATGTTAAACTCTCACTTTGCAAACACATGAAATTATCTAAATCCTACAAATCTTTAAAAATCCACGAAATGCTTCAAAAGTGGAAGGCCAGCTGGGCATGGTGGTGCAGACCTGTAATCCCAGCCCTTGGGAGACTGAGGCAGGAGGATTACCATGAGTTCAAGGCCAGCCTGGACTACACAGCGAGACCCTATCTCAAAAAACAAAACTGGAAGGCCTATTAGTCACACGTTGCTTAATGACAGAGGTTCTGAGCTCTGAGGCAACACTGCCCTGGGGACCCCCACTATACATGCAGGCTGTGGCTGGCTGAGTGACTAGTTGTGTGTTGTGCAAGTTGAATCTGCCTGTGTCAACAGCAAGACCTTTAGGACACCCAGATCTCTGCAGGTCCCACACTGCGTAACGTGAGGTCTGCAGGGCAGCACTGCGGGGGCAAAACACAGGCTGGTGGCGGAGGCACTCCATTCCCAAGGCCCAGCGCTGGTTCCCACCGAGCGACCAAGCTGAACAGATGGACTGCATGCTAGGACCGCATGCCGGCCAAGACTGTCCCCATGGCAGCCTGATGGCCCAGCGGTTTAAGACGCCTTGGCTTCTGCTACATTCAAAGCAAATGTAGTTCAGACCACAAGGAGATGCCAATGGCACACGTGCAGAGTCTTTACTTCTAGTTTACCCAAATCCATTTTGTTTCCAAAACGGTTGACTTTGTTTCAAGTTATTTGACTATTTTCCAGCTTAGAGAAAAAGCAAAAATAACTAGAGGCCACAGCTGCATTCTCGGCAACACACAACATGAATCTTTATTACGTTTGTCAGGATGGAGCGCAGCCCAAGGATGCCCAAGCGCCTGATGTGATTGCTCAACAGGAGCCCATCTCCTGCCCACTCACAACTGTAAAATGTGGATACAGCACAGCTCTCCCCACAAGCGAGGCTCCCCATAGGGGAACAAATGGACCACTCTCCACTCCACTGCGGGGAAAGATGACCCAACACACTTTCAATCAAACGTTATTTCTCTACTGTGCAGATGTGAGAGACACAGAGTTGTTCACTCAAAACAGGAATCGATTTCCTACGACTTCACGATATTTTGAGCGCATGATCTTCCTGCAGTTTAAGCAGTGTTCCCATCACCTTTAACTTGAGCATCCGCAGGCTCCAGGCCACGCAGGCACTGGGATGGAGGACAGACAGGTTCCAGGCTCCGCTCAGACTCCTGTGTTCACGCAGCTCCGCACCAGGCAGGGAGGCAGAGGGCCAGTTCTCCCAAGTCCCCTTGCCCTTGTGAGGCAAGGACAGAGGGGCAGGCAGGGTGGTCTGTGCTGGAGCAGCGGAGTCAAAGGCAAGGCTCAGAGGAACAGGTGAAGATGCCACATTTCTCTTCAGAGCAGGGGCTCCCGGCGCATCCTCCCACCAGGACTAAGTGAGCGCCAGGTGCTGGTGACAAAGCAACAAGCACAGCCTGTGACACAAGTCCTCTAGAACTTGCTTTCAGATGCCCTAAAACTCCCCATCCAGCCAGAAGGAACATGTCTGCCAATGCAGATCACGCAGGCTTTATGATCATCATATGCGCAAGAGGAAATAAAGATCTTTATTACCAAGGGTTATGAGGACTTATTAAAGCTATTATCTGACAGTTTCACTGGGACCCTCAATATGTACCCATTCTCAGAAGTCTTTTCCATAAGAGAAAATGCTTATCTTTTCAAGATTTAAATAGCTGAAGTGGTGACTTACTTGGACATTTTTTTAAAAAATCAGCCTTGCCTTATCATGTGATTTAGTTGATTGTACAATTTAAGTATGAAGGACTTACGTAGTAGAGACAATTATGAGGAAAAACCAAGTCTAATTACTAAGCTACACCACACGGGATCAATAAAACCATTACTGCAGACTCATGAGGACCTGTGCTCAGCACCCCCACTCCTCCCAAGCCCCACCACCAACCACAGAACAGGACTTGAGGTCCCTTTGACCCAGGCACACACGACAGCTGGGCCTCTTGCTGCCTGCAAGTTCTGAGTTTCCCTGTCTTTCAAGACCTGGGCACTTCTGAAGGGCACTGGTCAGGGCCCTGGTAACCACCTGTTTGGGTCTAGCGTTTCCTCTTGCTTACACTGCAATTCTGGCACCATCAGGGAAGTGACAGGTCTTCAGAGGGTCTCACAGGATTTTGACCCCTGCGTCTTCCTACTGGTCATGCTACCCTTTCTCACTCACTTCAGGATGTACCTGCTGAATTTTCCACTGGGAAGTCAGTATTTCACCCTTTGTGATTTATAAATATGCTGAGGGCAATATTTGGGGTTTGTGCTGTTGTTTGCTTGTTTGTTTGTTTGAGACAGGGTCTCCCCATGTAGTTCAGGCTGGCCTTGAACTCGAAGGGACCTTTCTGCCTCAGCCTCCCGAATGCTGGGGTTACAGGCATGAGCCATGCTCGCTGAGGGAAACATTTTGGAATTATGTAAATATCACAGGCAGGAGAAATGAAAACTAAACGCAGTACGGGATCCTGTGTTGCCCTGAAACAAAAAAAGGATGTTAGTGGAAAACTGAAGTTTGGATGAGGTCTGTAACACAGTTAGTAGCACTGTGCCAGCGTCAAGCTTCTGGCTCTTGTATGGATAATTCACTGCCTGAATGTCAACGTTAGGGGAGACTAGTGAAAAGAACAGGGAAGTGCACTATTATTTTTGCAACTTTTCTGCAAAGACTAAGCTTACTTGATTATTAGAAGTTTACCAAGTTGCAGCCTCTGACTCCGTATGTCTAGGTGGACCTAAAAGTGTATTTCTCACAAATTTCAAGTGATGCCGATCGATGCTGTAGGCCTTGGGCCACTGCCGAGACAGGCAAAGGGGGCTCACTTCATCGCCAACTTCCAAGTGTGACAAGCTGCCCACCCACATCAAGGCTGCGCTCAGAGCACAGCAACACTGACCTGAGGACTTCTGAAACCACACACTGGACGAACACAGTACACCTGGCACAATGCTTGGTGCTACACACCTGACTGGCCCCCAGGCTGCAGAGCAGAAGCGCTCCAGGTGACAGGCAGTCTTGGGGCACCTAGCACTTGTCCTGCCCCTCTGCAAGTAGGGGGAGCAACAGCACCAAGGCCACAAGGATTTCTGTTCAAGGTGAGTGATCAGCCGCACAGGTGACCTATGCTTCTCCCACTGAAATGATCTTTAATAAAGTAACCCCACAAGAAAAAAAATGTGGGTGCAGGCCAGAGACCTCACTAATATCCTCCTGGATCTGAGAGGTTCCAACTCAGGAAAGCAAACAGCCACCAGGCGCACACAGCAGTGAGGCCTTAGCCTGCCTTCCTTCTGGGTACACGGGAGCTGGCTCTCTGGCGCCCCTACCGAGACAAACTGAAACAGCTCTCAGGCCAAGAAGGCTTCCGTACACAGGCCGAAAGGCCCAGCGTTCCAGGTCCCATGGTAACAAGCTCCTCAGTCACCAGAGGCAAACCCATCCCACAGAAACCCAGGGCCCTCTGCCAGGTCCTCTTGCCTAGACAGTAATAATCACCAATACTGGAGAAGACCATGTGCTAATACTGTGGAGCAGTACATGTCATGCTTAACTAACCAATATCTAGCAAAAAAAAGGGGGTAACACTAGAGTAAACAAGAAATCAGAACAAAGAAAACTGAAGAGAATCCTCATTAGCTTCCTGAGGCACGGATAATGTACTCATAAACAATAAGCTAACAGAGAAAGGAACAGGACAAATACACTCAAGTAAAGGTTTGATTGTGGAAAGTTAAAAATTAAAATGGGACTGCAAGATAAACTGAAGTCCTCTTCCAGAAACAAGAATGAAAATGGCACAGAATGAACAAAGACAAGAGGGGTCAAGCCAAGCTGTCTACAACACGCTAAAAGGAACTCTTAAGGGAGAAAAACGCAAAATCGGTGCGTTAAACTCTCAAACGACCCAAGAGAATTTCCCAGAGCTGTAAGACAAGTCCGCCGTCACAGAGCGCTCGGACTGGGGCCCCACATACATGGGCACATTGTAGAAAGCCATAAGGCCAGATAGAAAGTTCTAAATATCTCCAAACAGGGGAAGAGTTACCCAAAAGGAGAATCTCTTCGCAGATTCTCGCTAAAATGATAAAGCGCAGATCAAAGCATGCATGGCATCCTGAAGAACCCAGGAACAGAACAAGCAAACTCTCGGCTGGTACCTGAAGAGTAACGGACTCGGTAAAGAGGACAGAGGTGCGGGGCTGGGCACCACCCCTGAGGAGTCCCAACACTGCCATGGCGATCAGGGCAGCGAAGAACGCAAACAACCGAAAAACAAAAGTTGTACAGGAAGGGGCCAGCCCGCGAGGATACTCGCGCGGCCCCAACGCTCACAGCCGCGTGCCCACGGTGGCCCGGAGGGACGCTGCGCGGGAGCTAAGTAGTCCTGCGCAGCAAGGCCGGGCAACTTTCTGGTCCCTATTCTGCCTCTCTTAGAAAGAAGCTATCTTTCTTTCAATGAATTTTCTTACTCTTAGCCTCCGTTGTTCCTAGAACTCATTCTTCTATTATCTAGATATTTATTATTCAGATATGTAGCAGATTTGGAAGTTACATTTCTTCCGTCTGTAGCATTTTGGAGGTCTTCCACAGAGATTACTGGTCAGAGGTAATATTTCTTTCAAAGGTTCTAACTTTGGTCTTTTTACTTCCTAGATTGTAACTTTTGTTTCATTTATTTGAAACGTTTATTTGATAGGCTCTGGTTTTTGTTTCATAAATTTTGGACTTTGCTTCAGCTTTTCTTTCAAAAGTGTCATAACTTTGTGTGCTTTATTTTTTATAATTAATTAATTTTATTGGCACATTTAAGCTATACAAAGTAACGGCATTCATCACAGGAAATTTGCACCTTTACATAATCTATCTTTGTTCTTCTTTTTTCCTATTCTCTGCCCTCCCTTCAACCCCTCCCCACCTATCTACAAAGACTTTGTTTCCCTCTTTTCTTTTTCTCATGTTAATTTCATTCCCATCTTTCTTTTCCCCTACACTTCCCATTTCCCCTTCTCCTTTGTAGTTGTGTGTTTCAAATTGCAAATTTCTTGTTATTCTTATGCATTGTCCTTTGTTAAAATTATGTTCTATTCTTATTTTGCATATGTTGCATTTGGACTTAGTTGTTTAAAATTTTTGTAAAATGGGTTTCTTATAAAATTGTCTCACATAAAGGCAGTTCAGCCTTTTATCTGTTCATTATAGAATGCAAAACAGTGGTTACTCTTCCAGCCAAGGAATTGCCTTTAAAGCAGCTGCCACTCTCAAAGCAGAAGACAGGTTTCTCCAGTTGCCCACTGGTGAATCTCCACTCCCATTGATGCCAGTGGTGGGTGGAACATTAACCAGATAGGCAATTGGGTTCCTTTCAGAGATCTCTGTGTGGAGCTAGCAGAAACTTAGGTGACAACTGAGGAATAGTGACCACGGCCCCTCTCTGGTGGATACCCAGAGGTCCCTCAGAAGATACTAGCTCTCTACAGCCCTTCTGGGTAATCAGCAGAAAATCTCCACATTGTGTCCCTATCTGGACTCCTCAGTGAGATGAAATGGTTACTCTTTCAGTGATCAAAGGAGACCAGAGCTCCTCTCTCTCAGAGTGATCTGTCTTGACTCTTCCTGCGCGCGCTTTCTTTAGCGGACTCCGGCGAGCATGCGCAGGCTTTCTCCCACGCCGAGACTTGGCTCCCCCGACTCTCACAACCCTTTCGTACACCTGCGCTTTTTGCTAGCGCCAAAAAAGTTGCGTCCGGGAGCCACTGGAGGAGTATGCTTCCTCTGAAACCGAGGGACAGGCATACCTCCGGCGATAACTACATATCCCAGGGTGCCCTGCGCAAATCGTGCGCTGCATCCTGGGGCTCGTAGTCCTCGCGCCGTGCCTGCTGGGACTTGTAGTTTTTCCCGACTCGGCAGCTGCATCCCGTCCTCTCCCCGAGGGCTGCTGGGACTTGTAGTGACGCCGGATCGGTTGTACGATGCTCCCCTTCTGCACAGGCCAGTACAGCTCAGAGGTTCTGGGTCCGGAGTCAGCGGTTTCCCGAGTGATGCGCAGACGGATCTCGCGTGGACATTGTCGCTGTGACATTTATTGTATGTGACATGCTTGTGTATCACAAAATACGAACGCGAGATGGTGTAAATGATCACAATGCCCTCCATGTAGACTCCATGTGCATGTGTGGGCGAAAATTCCCCAAGTGTCCAATTCCCAGAGGTGTCACTTGGGTCCCTGTGCCGAAGTGGCCTCACTGTCACTCTGCCCTTCACGCTCCCTCCTGCGCTTTCTCGGTGAACAAGACTCAGTTCTGTTCTGCAGACTCAGCTGCAGAGTTCTGTTCTCACTTACCTCCTTTTTGCAGGCACTAAAGTTACCTGCATGGACCTCAGGCCTCCGGAGGTGACGTCAGGTCCCGCTGAGGCTGGTCCTGGGCTACTGTCGTGAAGGAGCCTTAAAGATCTTCCAAGGAAGAGCCGTGGACGCCTGCACTGTAGCTGTGACATTGAAATGAGGCCTGTCCTTGTCCCAGATGAGGACAAAGTCCACCGGGATGAAAACCTGGCTCAGCAAGGTCCAGGCGGGAAAGAAGGAATAGGCTTCAGACTCCTACTGAAGTCCTAGCACTTCGTTGTCTGTTGCTTCCTTGCCCATGTTGAATATAAACTGGACTTTACCATGGGGGCCCGGGGCTGTCATCCTGACACTGTTCCGTCCCACACCTCCTCCAGGCCCTGGTGTGGCCCATGCAGACACCTCTGCCTTGTGTCCCTTACTCCTGCCTGCCTGGCGCCTCACTCCACCCCCTGCACTGTGCAGACCCCCAGGCACGGCGCCACCTCCGGGAATTGCCTGCTAGCTTTAAACCCAGAAATCAAAACTCCCCCCAAGAAAAGCTAGATGTAAAAAGGGGCTCTAGTCACTGACCCCTTCTGGCAATTTCCAGCTACACTGACCACTGTTATGGGTTATTAGGAAAAACTATGGTAATATCTATAAGAGCTCAACTAGAGTTTTTAAATTTCTTTGCTAAAATTGTCCTTCAAAACCACCAACCTCTGTATCTTCTTAACACTAAAACTAGAGGCTTATGACAAAACATAAGACTTATAATCTCCATCAGTAGAGAGATCTAAGAGCCAGCAGGTTACAATCATCATTTCATTCCCTTAAGAACAGTTTCTAAACGTGGCTCCTTCCCAACCTGCCTTCCAAAGTGCTCACTACTTTGATTATACATGCTTTAATATCTTGAAATTTTTGTTTATTCTTGTCAAGAGGCTGCCAAACTCTAAGTGATCACATAGGTGGAACCAATGACAAACGGTCTAGACTCCTTTTACTGGGATCCACCAGATCGACCTTGTAAAGAAAGTTCACAACTGCTGAACTACAACATGACTTCTGTCTGAGGCGCATCAAATTAGCTCTCTGGAGAGCACCCCTGACTGCGATCTCCCTATGTCGACCCCTCTCAGCCCAAAGCAGTTAGATGGAAACTACACCTCTTCTCCCCTAACTGCAGTTAGAGATGCCTCTCCAGAGGGGGAAATTATATAGACAGCTAAGTCAGGTAGAAATACTGTCGGCGGTTACACAGGCTGGGCGCTGGAAGTCAGTGAAGAGCATGAGAACACATCAAAGCTGTGGTTGGCAGCACATTTTAAGATTAAAGTCAAGAGGGCCAATGTGCATATTTCCCTAGGGATGAACAGAAACTGGAGATTATTGGCACCACCCTTTTGGGCTTTCCCTATACATAGACATTGTCTCATGGGGGCAGGCATCCTCTACCCACTAAGACTAAGACTACAAGCTGGGTGTGGTGGCACATGCCTGTAATCCCAGCACTCGGGAGGCTGAGGCAGGAGGATCTCGAGACCAGCCCCGGCTACATAGTGAGTTCCAGGTCAGTCTCAACTACATAGTGAGACCCTGTCTCAAAAAAAACAAAAAAACAAGACTAAGACTACAAGCTGGGTGTGGTGGCACATGCCTGTAATCCCAGCACTCGGGAGGCTGAGGCAGGAGGATCTCGAGACCAGCCCCGGCTACATAGTGAGTTCCAGGTCAGTCTCAACTACATAGTGAGACCCTGTCTCAAAAAAAACAAAAAAACAAGACTAAGACTACAAGGGGCAGGGGATTTAGCTCAGTTGTGCCACCATCTTCCTCACAAGTGCAAGGTCCCGAGTTTGATCCCCAGTATCAAGAAAGAAAGAATTTCATTCCAAGTGTTATGAGCAAGACCAAAGAGGAAACAAACAAAAAAACAAAGACTTGGAAATAATGTAAACATCTGCCCATAGACAGAGTCATTTAGTTAACTGTGGTACAGCTTTTAGTGGAACATTCAATCATTTCTTAAAAATAATTATGTACTGATACAAAAACAACCCATGAGAAATGCTGAGTGAATACATGTGAATAGCCTCGGATCATGATTTTCCTGTGGACGAGCAAAGCAAACGCACTACACGGCGTCCCCGAGCTGCTCCCACTCTGCGCTCAGCGGGAGGAGAGACCCGCTCGGCATCCACCTGCGCCCATCCTGTCCTGGCCTGTAGGCAGCTGTCCTCAGGGTCGGAGATCCTGCTCCCTCTCCGCGGCTCTGCCACCTGCAGAGGAGGCCATTGTGCTGGCCTAGCCGGGTACCTCTGAAGCAAGGCATGAGGGCAAACGGGGAGACCCCAGTCCACCTGAGAGGCAGGAGTGCACAGCGTGGGCAGAGGACAGCCCTGAGGGCCAGGCGACCGAGACAGCACAGGAGAGGCCTGAAGCTCTTGTGGGCATGGCTAGGAGATGGCGCTCCGCTTTGGGGCCCAGAAGGGCCAACCCAGCGGCGCCACAGAGTGAACGCCCCATGTTACAGACCCAGACACGGGTGAAGACGGAGGAGCAGGGTGAAGGAGGGAATACATCAACACCCGGCAGGCTCCTGTGGAAGAAGGGATCCTGTTCCCAGGGAAGCGGGTGAGGTTGGGGTCCAGGCTCTCGGGGCCTGTCTTCCCCTTATTCCAATTACCCCGGGGCTTTGTGGGACCAGTGTCCCCGCTGTGGGGCTGCTTCCTTCGGAAGAATGCCTGAGATGAGCTGCCTGCAGGAGGAGAGGCGCTGAGCCTTCCGGTGGGCCCGGCCACCTGCCCGTCCTCCAGCACAGAACTCCGCGCCTGCCCTTGAGTGTCCCATCCCCAAACCACAGGGCCAACAGCACACAGGATGGAGACCTTGCCCAATCAGTTTTTGCCACCCACCCACGTCCTCCCCTGGGCTCAGGGCAGCTCTCGGGTCTGTTTACCAGACGAAAGCATTGAGACCTGAGTGGCCTGTCCCTGTGAAGCCACTGTCCCCGTGCACCCACCCTTGAGCCAAACTAAACATCCTCACACACACTGGGTCAGGCATGGGTTGAAATTTAACCATGGGGCTCAGGGGTTCAGGTGAGTTTCTCCAAAGAGTGGGTACATCCACCCTGCAGCTGTGCAACCAGGCGCAGTCAGACAGTGGAAGCGTTGCCCTCTTAGATAGGGAGCTGCCCAGATGCTCAGGACTGTGGCGCTGGGGAAGGGCCCCCACAAGCCCTCCTGTACCCCCTTCCTGCTCACGTGGCCTAGAGGGGCTCCCCCAGCTCTGGCGACAGGGCGGGGGCGGCGGTGTTCCCGGCAGACCTGCACACAGAGCCACAGGAGCGACGCTTGTAAGTAGAGCCATGTCCCCAGGTGGGTTCTAGGATGGCTTCGAGAGGAGAGACTGCGGCAGGGTGTGGCCTCATGTCGCACTCTGCCCGTTCTGGAGGAAGTCATTTAGCCTGAGTTTCCTGGGTCTCGGGGCAGGTGGCAGTCAGCCTGTCCATAGCTGCTGGGCTCCGTCCTGGTCGGCACCGCCACTTATGAGCATACAGGCTCCAGAGGGGATGTACTGGGTGTGGGTGCCAGCAATCTGAGAGGGGGGAGTGCTTGGCCCAGCACCCCCCACCTCTCCGGCCTCAGTTTCCCCATCCCAGGATGAGTGTGACCAGATGCTGTCTCCTGGGAACACCAGGATGAGGAGACAAAAGCCTGGCCGTGGCAGGCTCTTGGAACATCTCCAGGTCCTCTCCAGGCCCACCAGGTGTGATGACCGACTGTGAAAACCACTGGACTCCGGGTGGTCTGCTGTTGGGCAGGAACTCAGGCCTGTGAGGGCAGACAGAGGCCTGGTGAGGTGAGGAGGACACTGCTCCCAGCCCCGAGTGGTCCAGCCTGGCCTCAGATACTGTAGTGAGGAGCTGCTCAAAGCTCAGACAGCAGTGCCAGGGAGTCTCCCAGGATCTGCACAGAGAGGGAAGTGGAAGACCCTGGGTCCACACTTCAGGGTCTGGGACGAAAGCCTTCTGTTGTACTCAGGGTTTGCAAGGGAATAGATTTAATACAGGACGCATAATTTATAGGATTATTTTATAATAGTCACCCAGAAAGTCAGCACAAGAGACCTGTCCACACACCAGAGACCTAAAGAATCCAGCCCAGGGCCTGGATCCCACGGCAGTGTCCACACAAGTCCGCATGGAGGATCTGTACCGGGAAGGCCCAAGGCCAGTAGTGGATGCTAGAAAGTGCATCTGCAGTAGGGTCTGTGTGGCTGAGGGGTCTGCGCTGGAGCCAGGAAGAGGTGCTCACAGCGGAGACCAGAGCTCCCCTGAGGAGGACAGCGGCCATCCTGGGCCACGGCGAGGACTGAGCTCCTCTGAGGACAGCCGAGTTGGCATCAGGAAAACCAGCTGCACAAGCTCCTCCAGGACGATCAACAGCCCACGATCTCCCCTCCAGTCTCCTCTGTGCCGTTGGTGACAATCCTGGGGGCGGTCTCCCACTCCCAGAGCCGCGCTGACGCGGTCCAGTGGGGTGCTCCAAGTGACCAGTAGTTAACCCACCACACCTTCCTATCCCCTCCACTGTCCCTGCTCTAACCGTGTCCTCCAGGGACGAGGCCACTCCTGTGGGGTCCCTGGGGCAGCAGCCTCACCCTGGGCCCTGCCCCAAGACCTTCCCCAGGCTGCAAACCACACAAAGGGGACTCACCAGGGTAGTCCCCAGACTGACCCCCAGATGCTGAGACAGTGTGGGAATGGTCTGTGACAGACGTGCACCCTTCCTCTTCATACCGTCCTGTGTCTACTGGCGGGTGGCTTCTCTCTTGCCAGAAGCACAGGTATCTTCATACCCAGCCCTCTTATTCTCAGAACCACCGAGAGCTCCAGGACACCTAGCTCAGACCCTGGTGCATCCTTGTGTTGCTGTGTGCCCTTTGGCAAGGATCTCAACCCTTTGAGCCCTGTCCTTCGCAAAAGGAGGTATAGTGCTGTCATGGGCAGGAAACCAGCCAAAAGCATGACTGGAAAGGCAGAGGACAGCATCTGGCCCTGGTGTCAGTCAAGGCTGAGCCTGCCCAGGAGGCACTTGAGAGAGTCGGCATATTAGTCCTTGCGGTCTTCAGTGAGTGCATTAACTAATTCCTCAGTAAGAGCAACAATCACCAGCATCGGGGCAGCATCAGAGCATGAGAGTTGGAGCTGCAGCGCTAGAGCCCAGGAGATGCATCTTCATTCCTTCAGCAAAACATCTACTCAAAGTTCACCGTGCTCTCCAGTTCACAGCAGTTATTCTCTTATCAGCTTACTGAGGCATGGAGAGACTAAACACCTGCTGCATGACCTTGTCCATGCCGCACATGCATGGCTGAGTATGTTAGGTCATTTTAAGATAACCATGGCCCAATATGTGCATGTCTCCGAGAGTGGAGTTATAACCTTAAGTGTCCTCAGATGCCCTCAGACACCTGGGCTTTGATACAGGCAGAAGTGGTACCCACTGCCGCCAGGACCAGGGCCTGGAGCTCGCATATCCAGTGGCACTGCCCACATTGAGTGCATGAAGTGTCATTGGTCTCTGGCACTGCAGACAGTGTTGCTCTGTGAATGCTGCTCTGCGTGCTGCTGCTGGACATGGGGATGTCCCAGCCAGGTGGCCCAGAACCCACTTAGCCGAGGACCCTGTCCTCAACCCCACATAGGATGCACGCACCTCCAAGGGAGCCATGCTTCCTGCCCAGGTTTTGTCGGTCGGTACCTACACAGTATAGCACTCCATCTGAGGAGAAAATGACTATACAACTAAAAATGAAAACCACAGAGCTTTGGCCTTGAGAGAAAAGTCACCCTGTTCAGAAACACTCTCATTCTCTGTCACCTCACAGCAAATGTGGGAGTCTTTCAACTCCCCAAGCGGGGACTTCACATCAGCCATGGTGTGGTGTCCACCCCACGGTGACGGGCAAGCACATGGCCAAGGTTCTCATTCCTGAGGTGTGGTTGTGCACATTTACCCACTGCGCCCCTGCCCCTGAGCCCATGGTGGGCACCAGTAGCTCCCGTCTGCAGGTCACCTTGGGTTGGCCACCCTGGTGCGGACAGCTCTGTCCCACAGTAGCCAGGGGGGCAGCTGTTCAGTTTTTTTGCTGTTGTTGTTTTGTTTTTTGGTGGTGGTACTGGGGATTGGCCCCCAGGCCTTCCATTGAGCTGCATCCCCACTGCTTTTTATTTTATTTTATTTTTGTTTTTTCCTATACCAGGGATCAAACTCAGGGCCTTAATCTTGCAAGGCAGGTGCAGCACCATTGACCTAAATCCCTGGCCCTTTATTTTTTTATTTTGATACAACTTGTCACTCAGTTGCCCAGGCTGGACTAGAACTTGTGATTCTCCTGCCTCAGCCCCCAGAGTGCTGGGGTTATAAGAGTACATCACCCCACCTAGGTGACTCTCAAGTAAGTTTTATTTTGTGTTGTGTTATTTTGATTTGTTGAAACAGGGTTTCTCTATGTAGTCCAGGCTGGCCTTGAACTCACAGCAATCCTCCTGCCTCAGCCTCCTAAATGCTGGAATTATAGGTGAGCGCCACCAGGCCCAGCTCTGGCTCTCATATCTTAATCACCCATCATGAGGAGAAGACTGCCCTGCTACCCTGAGAGGACGTGGCTACTGCCCTGTGTGTGGGCATCGAGGCCGGAGCAGGAGCTGATGTATAGCTAAGTGTGTTGCCTAAGGGAGCTGCAGGGGTAGCACGAAGGCTCCTGCTGCTGCCTCATTTCCACCTCCTGGGACGCTGTGAGCCCACTGCAGCCTCACTCATTTACAGGACTGGCCTTGCGACATGTCTACCTCACGAGGGAAACCAGACACACGATTCCAATAGCGGAGTTTCAGGCCTCAGACAGACTGGGGAGAGGGCCTGGGGTGACACCAACCATCTGCAAATAACAGAAAAACTGGAGGCCCGGGCGACATGAAAGCAGCAGACAGTTGCCCAGGCTGTGCACACGGGAAGGCTGGTGCTGGTGAGACCCAGCTGTGACCTCGCAGGAGGCTCTGAAAAGTGAGCCCGACCCCTGACCCACTGCGTCCTCCTGATGGGAGGGCAGCAGAGGTTAGCACACAAGGGCTATTCATTCAACACACGTACACGTTTGACCCCGTCCAAGTGCGGGCAGTGGAGTGGGCAGGACTCTCACTGTGTTCTGCTCCAGACAGCCGACCCTGACAGATGGCTGCAGTGCTGGGCACAGCCATGGGGATGGGACCCAGGACCCAAGTTAGAGCAAGCCCGCTGCTGAGGGTGATCATCCCACTGAAGCACACAGGGCCTCCAAGACGCAACGCCTTCTACACACCAGAACCAGGGACACCTAGGTCTGAGCCACAACAGAGAAAGTCGCAGTCCATGCAGGAAGAGGATCCAGGCCTCCGAATGGTCCAAGGGGACTCTGGGCATGGTGGGGCATGTCTGGAATCCTAATGCTTGGGCGGCTGAGACAGGAGGATCACCATAAGCTCAAGGCCAGCCTGGGCTACACAGTGAGACCCTGCTTCAAATAATAAAAAACAAAACAGACCCACAGTGGGGTGTGCACAACAGGGTCAGTACACATGCCCAAGAGTCAGCACCAGGTAACCTGGAGGCCTGGGAGCCTCCCTACCGCAGTTTCCCCTGAGCTGGGACCTGTAAGACCTCATGTGGCTCTGCATCCGTTGTCTTCACCCAGGTCTTCAGCCAGGCTCTCCGCTCTGTTCCCAGGGCACCCCCGCTGGACAGGCCAGGTCTCTGTGCCAGGGGGCAGCCGGCAGTCCCCCATCAACATCCAGCAGAGGGACAGCATCTACGACCCCCAGCTGCCACCACTCAGGGTGTCCTACAATGCCGCGTCCTGTCGGTGTGTGCGGAACACCGGCTACTTCTGTCAGGTGGAGTTCGACGAGGCTGCCAAGGACTCAGGTGAGCTCCAAGGTGGAGGTCCCTCCCCTCTTTGTGTGGGTACCTGTCACAGTGGCGAGGGGACAAGAGCAGGGCACAGTGCGGGACAAGGAGCAGGAGGGCCGTGAGCTGGGAGGAAGGTCGCAGGGAGGGGACGGCCCTTGCCCAGCGTCGCACAGGTCCGGGGACCAAAGCCCCGTCCCTCTCGCCTTACTCCAACGGGCCAGTGGGGAGAGGTGTGTGCCCAGCCTGCGTGCCAGCCCCCTGCTCAACCAGCAGAGTTAGGAGACTCCGCATCCCCATGCCTCTGGTTTTGGTTTTGCTCTCACGGGAGAGAATTCACTGTTGTTCCAGACCTCCTTTCCTCCCCTGCCCGTGACAGACCCAACCCACCCTGGGTTGAGCAAAGAGCAGACCTGGGCCGGGGCAGCAGGCCCCACTCCACCCTCCAGGGATTTGGGAGGCTGGGATTCAGCTACTGTTTTGGCCAGGATGACGCCAAAAGTACAGCTCAGCCCCACCTGGGGCTCAGTGTCCCTGCCGGTAGCCTGGGTTGAGCCTTTTGGAGCAAGACATGGATCGGAGTGGGGAAAATGGCTTCTGCAGGACAACAAACAGGGCTCCGCTCCCCGAGGTCCCACAGCTGTCAGCCAGACCAGAGCTCTCCTCTGTTGGAAACTGGGAGCAAAGAGGGGGCACATGAGAGACAGGAGGACTAAAAACATTTCTAGCAGAAAAATGAGAATGAGACTCTCCCATGCATTTAAAAGAAAATAGCCCTGGAGGGAAGGGAAGGAGAGCTATCCCCAGCAGGACCGGAAGTAAGCCAGAAGGGGTGGGGGTGGGCAGGCTCACCCAGGTCGCCAGGTACCACCAGGTGAGTGCCAGAAACTGAAGCCAGGTGTGAGCAGGAGGCCGAGGGTGGCCCCAGGGTGAGGCCAGCTCCCCTGGAGGCGAGGGTTGGGGGGGGGCTTCTCATGGAATGGAGCGCAGGAAGCCCAGGGCAGAGCGGGTGACCGCAGCACCGAGGCCCCCGGGAGGGGCTCCGGCGTCAGAGGCTGAGGACAGGAGGGCTCGCTGTGGAGGGAGAGACACCCAGAGCACACAGCAGCCACTCGGCAAACATTTGCTCCTGGACACATGAGAGGCCTGCGGGCGTCCACATGAGGGTACAGACCTCACTCCCACAGCCGGGCGCAAGGCAGAGAAACAGACTCCGGCCAGGTGAGATAGCGGAGGTACCCAGCAAACACAGGCCCCTGCACGGTGATCTAGACAGGGCAGGAACCAGCGCAGCAGAGGCCCACGAGTCAGGCGCCAGCGGGGCTGTCCCCAGGACAGCGGCAGATGGCCCCATCAGGCGTCTCCTCACATGGTGTGCATCACACACTAGGATGGCGGCTCTTGAGGCCACCACTGCACGCGTGGTCACTCGGCCAAGATGTCCATTGCACCGTTCCTCTGTCCTACAGAACACTGGGCAGCACAGAGTGACCTGCGGAAGGATCAGAAACTTCCTTCTGATCCCAACCTAACCACTACTGCGTCCCAACCCTGGCCCCTCGAGCCATGTTGCACCAATTAGGATCCATTCCTAGCCCTGCCTGATTGACACAGGGCCCAGCCAATCAGCTACTGTCCTGGGAAACTGGAGTGAGCTGTGTGGGAACCACGGTGTTCCTATGACATTGGAACCATCTTAGTTTGCTGATAAGTCTGTGATGCTTGCACAGTGACAAACCTATTTTCAGAGTGTGTCCCCGCCATTGAGCCGCATGTGACTGTGTGGGCATATCTTTGGGTACAGGTCAGCTTCAAGGCACCCCCTACACTGAGGTCACAGCTCAGTCTGCTGCAGTACACAGTCACCAGGGAAACAGAAAGACCATTCCGCATGACAACCTTTCCTCCAGCAAGCCCACCTTGCACAGAGCTTGGGGTCAGGGCCTCCTGCAAGCTAAGCCACTGCTCTTCCACGGAGCCACACTCCTAGCCCTCTCGACTTTATTTCAAGACAGGTCTTACTGAGTTGTCCCTCTGGTCTTGAACTTGTGATCCTCCTGCCTCAGCCTCCTGAGTGCTGGGGTCACAGGCGTGCAGTTCCATGTCCGGCCACCTTTTAAATACTAGAGCATACACCCCTGAGGCTCCTGCGCAGTCACCGCCCTGGCCGACAGCGCATCCAGCCCAATCACCACTCCCCTGCAAAGGCTGCATCTGGCCCCAGGCACACCGTGTGCTCCCCTGGATACTGCTCCCTTTCTGCCTGCTGACTCTGGAGGTGCACCATCTGCATCTACGCCTAACACAGAGTCAGCCCTCCAGGCTGATGTTGTTCTGCAGGAGGCCACCCTGGTGTCCCGGGCTGCCTCAGGCCCCCAGAGCCCCTGCTTGCCCCATACTTTTTTGGGGGTGTGGGGGTGAGATAGGGTCTCGCTATGTAGTCCAGGCTGGCCTTGAACTCACTGTGTAGCCCAGGATGGCCTTGAATGAGTTCTGATCCTCCTGCCTCAGCCACCCCAGTGCTGGGGTTACTGGCATGGGCCACCACACCCAGTCTTCCCTGTAGTCTGTCCCCAGGAGATCTGGGCTGAGGAGGACTGGCACATCCACACACACACACACACACACACACACACACACACCCTCCGTCCTCCTCATGCTGCATGCACATGGCACACGTCTTGGGGTCTCAGCAAGAACTTGTGCAGCGAATGGATTGTCTTTCTCCTCTTGGCTTTGAGAGCTGGCAAAGCGCCCTTCACATAAGATAGTTGGGAATGAGATCCTAGATGCAACCTGTCAGTGTCAGAAAGAGAGTACACAGATGCGGAAGGAGAGGCCCCGACAAGGCAGGGTTAGCATTTCCTCTGCAGATGAAAGCACACTGAGGCAGCAGGCATGGGTGGGGAACACAGGAGGCCGGCACATTCTTGCAAACGCAGGCAGCTGACCTCCCCCAGTAGCCGGGCGGAAGTCCACAGCCTGTCCCGAGCTACCTCAGGCAGTGTGGGGAGAACCAGAAAAGGTATTGAGGGGAAGGGGTGCAGACTGAAGGGGGAAAATGGGAAGCACAAAGTCCTTGGTTCTTGATAAGCTGGCCCGGGTGGGTTGGTTTATTATATATAGATATGTATGTATATATATTTTCATTGAACTCTGGTCCTTGCGTTTTCGAGGCAGGCACAGTGCCACTGAGCTCCATACCCAGCTATTTACTTATTTAAGCCATGACCGAGAGTTATTCCAGAGCTACAAGGCTGGTTTAAGGTTCAGAAATGAATTAATGTCATATACCATATTAATAAATCTAAGGAAAAAATGATTCTAAAGAAAATTTGAAAAAAAATCAATACCCTATTCATAGAAAAGTAAAGGAAGATAGAGATTAAAGAAAATCTTAACGTGATTTGTGTGTGTCACCCTGGGTGAATAGCTATGTCCCCAGGGATTGACTGGGCAGGCGACTTTGTGACCGGTGTGTATGGGGAGTGCTGCTTGGGGGAGCCAGAGCTGAGGTAGAGACAGTGAGGGTGATAGAGAAGACAGTGTACTGTTTTGCATGAGTGGCTTGTCTGGCCATATCCCCGCTCAGAGTGCTGGCTGGGCATCCGGTGGTGGCTGTGTCAGGGGACGATGATAACTTTGGCGATGAGAACACAGCACCCATGGCAGTTGCCACCCGTAGGGCTCTCGCTGAGGCCAGACCTGGCCCTGTTTGCTGTCTGCCCTGCTCAGGGACGTGGCTGTCACACCCTTCACAGCTTCAGGGCTGAGGTTCACACCGGACACAGCCCAGTGGAGCGGCATCCGTGCCGACAGGACACGAGCTCAGAGCGGCCTGGCCCAGCCCTTTGAGTCTCTCTGAGGGGCACAGGAACTCCCCACTTTGGGGTTCTGGGCCGGGGGCTCAGGTGACCCCAGCACCACAGTATGCGGCCGTGGCTCTAGCGGGGAGAGGTTGCAGAGATCCGGGGCAGGGAGCACACGGACCCCGTGGCCTGGCGCTTCACAGCACAGAACCAGTTCCGGTTCAACCTGATTTGGAGAACAGGCGCCCTTTGCTTGTCTTCCATAGCAAGGATGAACAAGAACACCTCCTGCCTCTTGGGCCTGCCGGGAGCCGCTGACCCCTCTGGAGACCCTCAGCCAGGAACAGGTGGCTGTAGGCAGCGTTTGCTGCAACAGCAGACTCCTGGGCAGCAGCCAGCGCAGTATGGGGCTGGCCTCAGGGTCGCGCTGTTTTACTTGGCTGCCCTGGTTCTCCCTGATGCAGTGGCCCAGTTACACTTTCACGAGTGGCCTGCAGGGGGAGCCAGTGACATGGCTGCGCTGGTGGCCAACTCTGGGGACAGAGCTGCCACCATAAAGGCCCTCTTTTTTTTTTTTCCGGTAGGGATTGAACCCAGAGCCTTCACACTGACCTATACCCTCAGCCCAATGTTTAATTTTCTTTTGTATCTTTTGAGTTGGGGTCTTGCTAAGTTGCCCAGGCTGGGCTCAAACTTGTGATCCTCCTTCCTCGGCCTCCCGAGTGCCAGGATCACAGTTGTGTACTGCTGTGTCCAGCTCTAAATGCCTCCCTCTCAGGGTTCAGCTTTGCCTCTTTTTCAATTAGAGTAGTTATTTTCATTTTGAAGACTCAATTAGAAATTATTTTGTCTGAGTGGCAGGATTTGACTTGAACCTTGCTAAGAAGGCTGATGGTTAGGGGCTGCCAGTAGCCTAGGACGGGTGACGTCACATTGAGTTTCTGTCCAAACCCCAGAGCTGGGCTCCTGGCGCTGCCCCACAGGTTCAATGTGGAGAGAAACAGCCTGTCCTTTGGGGAACAGGAAGTTCCCGCACTCGGCCTGGTGTCCTGTAGCAGGCACACAGTAAATGCCATTCGTCCCTTGGTCACACTCACAGCCCACAGCAAGTGTTCTCCACATGCGTAGTGGGTAGGAGGCGAGCGCCCCAGACCCACAGACCATACGCCAGGTCTCTCTTCCTGGGCAGCTGCCTCACCCCGTAGGGACGTGTCTGCCACAGAGACTGTTCTCCTTGGGGCTTCCTACTGCCAGGTGCTGTGTACCTTCATTATGGATACAATCTTTACAGCACCCCCATCCAGTGATGTCTTAAGCACTTTTCTGTGTCTGGGACAAAATACTCAGCACCCACAATGTAAAGGAGAGGTTGATTGGACTCACGGTGTCAGTGGGTTCAGTCCATGGTCAGCTGGCCCTAAGGCAAGAACAGCATGGTGGAGCATCCTGGTGAAGGACAGCTGCTTATGTCATGGTGGCCAGGGAGCAAGCAGAGAGCAAGGGAGGCATGGGGGCAAAAAACGCACCCTTCCAGGTCACACGCCAGTGACACCTCCAACTGGGCCCCTCCTAACACAGCACATCAGCCACAGAGGCATCCTTTGGTCCACCCATTGATGGCCACAATCCCCCCACCTAATCACCTTCCACACACAGGAGAATTTGGGGTGCAGTTTAGAGTTAAACCCTCACAACTGGGTATTAGAGTTGCCCCACTTTACAGAGGGGAGACTGAGGCTAGGAGAGGTAAGACACCTGGGCCAGGGTCACGCGGTGTTGCAAAGGGGCTCGGGGTCTGTGCCAGGTCAGGCTCCTCCCGGCTGCAAGCAGTGCTTTCCACCGGAAAGCCCCAAACACAGCGTTCCAGTCTTCAAATAAATAAACATGTGGCCTTTTGCCGACCTTTGCATTGTGAGGTCTATTTTAGGAAACGTTGTAAGAACCTTTGTTCCGTCTTCAAAGGGATCCGGACACCCCCTCACCCCCAGTAGGGCAGAGAGGCCCCGGAGCAGGGACCAGACTCTGGCCAACAGCGCTGTGCTTTGATGGGCCCCACCCGGGTGAGAGGAGGCCTAGCCCTGTGAACCATACCCAGGGACCTCTGGGCGTGTCACCTCTTTGCCCCTGGGCCCTCTGCAGCCCAGCCAGGGGGCCGCCTTTCCTTGGCCTTCCTGGGGAGGGACAGGGGCTCCCCGACTCACCTGTGCCACTGTAGTCCTGCAGATTTTCTGAGAGCTTCTTGGTCTCCAGCCCAGGGTGGCTGTCATCCCATGCCACCCCAGTGCCAGATGTGAAGGACCAGATACCCGCTGCCCGGTGTGTGAGGAAAGGAGCTCTTGCTCTTCCTGGGGGCGGCGCCCAGGAGCCTAAGGACCTGCTCTCTTCACATGCACTTATGCAGGAGCTCTGTGCCCACCCAGGTGGTGGCCTGGACTCCAGTGGTCAGAGGCTGTGTCCACACAGGAGGCAGGGGTAGCTGGATGTCGGGGTTGTGGCCAGGTGCACAGCCCCCATCCTGCTTGGGTGGCAGGGGTGTCACCCCCAGGATCCAGGCCATTGGGGGCTGGGGGCGGAGACTTTCCCAAATTCAGAACAGGTGACAGAAGCCTGCGGGTGTCCCGTGGGTGGCAGCTTGTGACAAGTGATCTGGAGGCTGAGAGGTGGGCCCTCTTGGGCTCCCCCTCCTTGCCCATCTGGGCATTTTGGGGCCACAGGGACACGGGGGAGGTGGAAGCCAGCACGAAGACAGCCCCGCCTGTGTGTTGGGCTCCTGGGATTCCTTAGATCAGGTTTTGGGCTCTGGAGGATAGGGTGGGAGAGGCAGGCAATTGGTGTCAGGCATGGATTCAAATCCCCCGCCCGTGGCCACACCTCCGGGATAGTGGGTACCTCTGCCACGCCCCACGGCCACAGGAGCCTCCTGTCACATTATCCCTCCCAGGGGAGGAGCTTCCTCAGATTTGCAGCCTAGGGAGTCACACCGAGCGCGAGTCCCACGTGGGTGACTCCCCTGTGCCTCACCCGCCCAGCTGCAGAATGGCTCCTTGACAGCCCGTGAATCCAAATTCACCAAGGCCGCAGGTACCACATCAGGCAAGGGGTATTTCTGTGGCTTTTCAAATTCAGACAGATCCATGGGTGCAGTTTCAAGAGGACGGGGCCACCTCGCAGGCTCACCGGACCTTAACGGAGGCTGAGACCAAAGTTCTAACCAGCAGCCGTGTCCCAAGACAAACACCAGTTGTGCTGGACTGTCCCGAGCCGCCCGCCATGAGGACGTCATCTGGGACAGCAGGTCAGGGGCACCGATCACCACGACGTGGGCCAGGCTGAGTGTGCAGCACCCGTCCACCCACAGCCCAGAACCCGGCCCTCAGGGAACTGCCCCACACCACCACTTATTCTTAGACAGCATCAGGGACAGGGGCAGCTCGAGGTGGGAGGAGCCTCCCCTGGAGAAGTTGAGGGTGAGTCCCCTTGTCCACAGTGCCGCCTGGAGCCTCCACCAGTGGGTCCTGCTGTGCCGCTCCGCTGCCTGGGCACCAGGCCTTTGTGGGAAAGCCACCTCGAGTCTCCTAGTAGAGTGCTGCTGCCTCCTTTGCCGGTGTCCAGGGCCTTAGAAAGGCATCTTCGTAAAAACCTGGTCCAGCAGTGGGCCTGGACTAAGCAGGGGCCGCGGAGCTCAGGACTGGGGAAAGGTCCCGTGCTGTGGCTCAGAGCTCATTCAAAGCCTTTATTGTATCACATAGGACTAATTTATGTGGTGATGGGATTTAAGCTCTTTTTTTAATTATGAAAATGTGGGGAAGGCTGACAAGACAGATGCATCTCTGAAATGGGTCTGAGTGGTGGCTGAAGCCCTTACTGCCACCTAGTGGCAGCGTGTGAACCTGCGGTCATTGGCACCCTTACCCGAAATCCCCTCAGGCCAGGCAAGGGGGACACAGGTGCCCAGAGCCTACAAGCTCGCGCCTCCCACAGGGCCCCGAAGTCGGCACACAAGCGCAGGCAGCGGGGCGGACTGACTCTCGCTCGCGTTTGCAGGGGTCAGCGGGGGGCCCCTGGAGAACCACTACCGACTGAAGCAGTTCCACTTCCACTGGGGAGCCGGGGACGCGCGGGGCTCTGAGCACACCGTGGACTACCACGCCTTCCCCGCCGAGGTGTGTGCACGGTGGGCGGGCGTCTGAACGGGCTCTGGGTGTGCCGGGCTGGCCGCGGGGTGCCCGGGGCCTCCCTGCCCACAGGGAACGGCTTGGGGGCGGCTGGGAACCTCAGGGCTCCAGCGGAGCAGTTAGCGTTGCCTGCCCAACAGGTCACAGCGATCCAGGCCGGTCTCGGAGCAGTGGGATCCAGGGCCTCGATCGGGACTCGGAGAATCATCAGTAAAGAAGGGTGTGCGTGGGGGTGTGTGCGTGTACGTGTGGGCGTGTCTGGAGATCAAACCCAAGGCCTTGTGGATGCTTGTGAACTACAACTCCGGCCCTTTTCATTTCTATTCATTTACTTATTTTGAGACAGGGTCTCACTTAGTAAGGCAGCTTTGAATTTACAGTCTTCCTGCCTCAGCCTCCTGAGCCTGGGCAAATCCCTTTTATTTTTATTTTGTGATGATGTCCTGTAAGTTGCCCTGGCTGGCCTCAATGTCCTGACTGCTGCCTTGGCCTCCCGGAGGTACCTGGCAGGGACTCCAGCTTGGTGAGTGTGAGTGATGCGCAGCTCACAGAGATCCAGGGTCCCCAACAGAGCTGGACACAGAGGCCTTGGGGACCCAGAGTTGGCCCCAGCTCAGAGAGCCTCCACCACAACCCCACACCGGGAGACAGAAGCCCTCCCTGGACGTCTGTGGGGCTGGGCCGGGGCGCTCAGATCCCGTGGGAGAGTGCTGTCACTCGTGCCCTGCGACGCCCTCCATAGACTTTCCTGGAACCCTGGCACGCTGGGCACACTAGGTGAGAGGCCACCACACTGCCCCATGCAGAGAACGTGGACAGAGGCAGAGTGGCCCTGGCCAGCACACACGTGGCTTCTTTCGTGTGTTTTCCATCTGCAGCTGGGGAATCTGCGGACACAGAACCCTCAGTAGGGAGGGTGGCTGCACCAACGCCCAGCCCTCAAGCGGTGGCCTCGCCCCATCCCTGGTGCCTGGCCTGTGCCCACCACCTGCCACGCTGTACCCCGAGCCTGTCACCTGACACTGGAGTCCGCAGGTCCCGTCTCGGGACAACGGGAGGAGGGCTGTAAAGCAAAGGCCCTGGAGGGAGCCAGGGCTGGCAGTTGGCCTTACGTTTCATCCCACAGTCCTCATGCAGGGGTAACAAAGAGGGACAAACCACCAAACTATCTGCTTCTTTGTTTGTTTTGTTTTGTTTCCAGTGCTAGAGATGAACCCAAGACCTTTGCACTGAACTACATCCCCAGCTCTTTTTAGTTTTTATTTTGAGATGGGGTCGCCCTAAATTGCCTAGGCTGGGCTCAACCTTGCAATCCTCCTGCCTCAGCCTCCCAGAGTGCTGGGATCGCAGGTGTGCACCACCATGCCCGGCTCCTGTTTGGTTTTGCAGGTTTAAAATAGTGCTCTCCTTTCTCTCCCACCAGGAGCCCCCGGCTCTCACCACCTAGTCGGGTGGTGCTGGGCTTCCTACCCCCTCGGCTGCACAAGCTCTGCACCTGACAGTCATTTTTTGCCACATCCTGCAACATCTGAGTTCTCTCTCTGCTGTGTTTCAGCTGCACTTAGTTCACTGGAATCCTGCAGTGTACCCGAGCTACAGGGAAGCGGTCCTGGGTGAGAAGGGCCTGGCTGTGGTCGCCGTCTTTCTGCAGGTAACGGCTCTGGGCAGGGTGCCACTGGGACCAGCCACGACCCCATGCTGACTGCTGTGTGTCTGTGCCGCAGCTGGGTGCCCCGCATCAGGCCCTGCAGCAGCTGGCGGACGTCCTGCCTGAGATAAAACACAAGGTGAGGTGTGGCGGAAGCCGGCCCAGCAGGCTCTTCCAGGATGGGGCTAGGGAGGGCTGCAGGAGCCCCGCACAGTGAATGCATCCAGATCTGGAAGCAGCACCAGGGCCCGGTTCCCAGCATCCAGGCAGGGCTGGGACACGGCCTTCAACTGCAGAGGCTTGTGCTCTGGCTTCAGTGTGGCTCCTGTCCTCGGCCCCTCTTCCTCCTGAGTAAGAGACGGGTGTGGACTCTACTGGATTCCCCGAAGTCGGCCACTCAGGCAGCATCTGGAAGAACTGGGGCACATCTGCCCGCCCCAGGACTCCCGTGGGCTGAACACCTTCCTTTAATAGATTTGCTCTTCACCAGCACTCTGGGAAGGTGAGGCAGGAGAATCGCAACTTCAAACCCAGCCCGGGCAACATGGTGACGACTCAGTGAGACCTTGTCTCAAAATAAAAATAATAAAAAGGGCTGGGGATGGAGCCCAGGAGGAAGGCTGTGGTTCAATGCCCAGTACTGCAAAAAAAATCTTTAGCTTTGCCCCAGGCAATGGCAGCCAGTAGAGAGAGCGTGGCTAAAAGAGAGAGGTGAGTTGGGAATTCAACTATTAAGGCTGAAGAATACTGGCCTGTTCACCCCGCAGCAACACTTAGGGAAGGAACTGCACAAAGGCCTCCGCGCCGGGGGGGGGGGGGGGGGGGGGCGGCGCGCGGGGGGG